TATATATATATATATATATATATATATATATATATATATATATATATATATATATAAACACAATATACTATAATAACTTTGGTACTCATATGCTGAATGGGAAAACCAGTACTTTCCCTGAAACACATTAACCATGGTGAAATGTTCATTGTCTTCCAAAGTTCATGTTGTGTGTTCAGAAAACGCATTACTTTCCTCTGACTGAAGTGATATCACATCTCTTATCTGAAGAGTTTAAAGTGTCATTGTACATATAAAACTCTACATAGTAAAAACTTAGGGCTATTAAGTTTTAGTTACTTAGTTTCAGTTTTAATTCTGAGGTTCTGCATAACAAAGTACCAGCTTAAATTGGTGAAAGGATTCAAAACATGTATTGCCTGATTTATATAACAAAGCAAAAACAGTTTGCACTTGTTGGATATGTGCTGGTCAGATGAAGTCTAGTCGAGTGTACAGTAGATCCCTTTTTTCCCCCAACATAATCAGGTGCTAATGTGAGTCAGTCCACTTGGCCATTTGTGACATATAAACTAAAACATTTAATTTATCAAGTGAAAAAAGTTGTTAAAATTTTTTTTTTAGAGACATGGAATCTATGTGCTCTTTTTGTGAATTAGAGGAGGAATTGATAAAACACGTTTTTTGAATGCACATATACCCAAATGTATTGGTTTGATGTTGAATGTCTTATATTTAACCTTACAAAATTAAAAAATCTGTTTTCTTGTAAAGAAATTTTATGGATATACGATAATAATAACAAAACTTGGTAGCAAAATTTGTTTATTAATTTAATGATAATATTTGAGAAGTACCATGTATACACAAACTAAAATGGTCTAATAGTAAACCTATTATTTATTTGATCAAAATTGATCTTAAGCATTATATCGATACCCTAAAAGACACAAAAAAATAAAAAAAGCAATTAGAATGTATGCAATTTTGGAATCCTATGCAAATTTTTGTCATTTCTATATCCACTGTAATTTTATTTTAAAATATTTGTTTTTGTTTTTTTCTTCTGATTTGTTTCTTTTATGTGGAAAAAAATGTAAGCATTGTATTCCTCATTTTTGTATGCTATATAGGGCATATGCCGAAGCATGCTAATAGGACTTTTAATTTGCCAGTAACCTGGGTTAAGCGCTTCCGGCGAACTGTATGCCAATGCAAAAACCGGTGTGTTTAAAGGCTCTTTTCTTTAAAAATCAGTGATCTCCACTGGCTGAGTCATATCCGATTTAAAGTGGGTCTCAGATTGTACAAGAAGCACTGCATTAAATTACATTTCCCCCCGCCATGTCTTTATAATATGAGCATTTATTTTACCCCAGTATATTCAATGGAGCTTCTGCGCTTGCCTGCCGATTCTGATGTGCCAGTAAATGGCTTTTTGTATCGTTATACGCTTGAGCAACTAAATTAATGCCAAAGTTTATTTAACCGAATGTATTTTAATGACATTACAACATCAATGCTGTAAAAGGAACTGGATAAAATGGGAAAAAACTCACAATAACAGGTCACCGGAAGTTTATCAGTATGGGAAAAACACTAGCTCGGCATATACGCTATTGTTGTTATGCAACAAAAATAAAAAAATAAAAAAAACTCTGTGGCCATTTTGGCCCTTTTCATGTTTGACCACAGAGTCAGAAGCCCAAGCACTATCTAGACTCCGCTAGAATTTGTTATGCTAGATGACAATGAAAAAATGTAACTTTTGACTGAAGGAGCATTTTTTAACATCAAAGAAGCACAACAAGAAATAGCTGCTAAATAATATAACAATATATATAAATGTATTGGGGTGGTCATTGTAAACCAAAACATGGGCAAGATTCAAAGAATGAAAAATAGTCAGTCATAGAATAAAAAAAATTAAAAAATGGGTCTTATTCAAACTATTAATTTAAAATGAGCTGAAACAACACAATTCCTAAGGTGTTTAAACTTACGTAATTAAGTTCAATACACTGAAATTTGTAAAAACTATTAAATTAACAGTGCCATGGTGCAGTGGGTAGCATGATCGCCTCACAGCAAGATGGTTGCTGGTTTAAGCCTTGGCTGGGTCAGTTGGCATTTCTGTGTGGAGTTTGCATGTTCACCTCGTGTTGACGTGAGTTTTCCTCCAGGTGCTCCGGTTTCCCCCACAGTCCAAAGACATGCGCTATAGGTGAATAGAATGAGCTAAATTGTCCGTAGTGCACGTGTGGGTGTGAATGCAAGAGTGTATTGGTGTTTCCCAGTGCTAGGCTGCAAGGCATCAACTGTTTAAAACATATGCTAGATAAGTTGCCGGTTCATTCCACTGTGGCAACCCTTGATTAATAAAGGGACTTAGCTGAAAATCAAATAAATGAATGAATATAATTACTGTAAGTATGCATATGCTGTATTAGCAATTATGTTAAGTTCGTCCTCCTTTTGTTTCAGTTTTTTCAACTTGATAAACATGATAGCTGCGTGGGAATGAGACCCAAAGAAACTTAAACACAGCTGTCATCTTATCTCAGACTCAGAGAGAGCGATTTAGGTTATTTATAAGGTGACAATTAACATCGCTTATAGAATTTGCTTAATGCTATTATCTGTTTTTGGGGTTTAACAACATCACCACTGTTTGATTTGATTATTAGTTATTAGTTTTGTTAATAACATTTGTCTTTCCTTATTGATATAGTCTTATGAACATGTGGTTTCAAAAAGAAGTATTTACTTTTGTGGGTAAGAGATAAGAGAATGTCTTCATTTCAAGGTTTTTAAATCACTGGATGATGTGGTAAGGCAGTAGTTTTCCATTGCTTTTGCTTGTGGTATAATAACAACAGTTGGATTTTGGTTATATGAAGTCTTTGTTAAAACACACACATTTTTTAAAAACTCCACGGCTCTGTTTGCTGGTTATTCAGATACCAGTCGAAGCAGATGTTTTCTGAAAGGATTTGGCATTCAGAGCTTGATCTGATTAAACTTTCACAGAGACTGTGATCTACCAGGTAAGATACCATTTTTTATTAAACAATTGATTTAATCTAAGGTTGTGTGTGTGAATAAATTGCATGTTTCTTTTTGTTTTCTGTTCTTTGTTTTTATCTTCAGTGATTCCGTTTAAATGAATAGTTCACCAATTTTTTTTTCTTCTAAATTTGTAATTTACACATTTATTTGTCAAACCAGAACACAAAGGAAGATATTTTGAAAAATGTTGGAAATCAGGAGCTATTGACATATATAGTTGGAAAAACAAATACTATGGAAGTCAATGCTTCACCCCAAAATAAAAAAATGAATCACCATTTACTTGGTCTAAAATGAGTTTTCTTTTTCTGTTAAACACAAAAGAAGATATTTTGAAAAATTTTGGAAACCTGTAACCATTAACATTAATAGTAGGAAAAACAAATACTATGGTAGTCAATGGTTTACCCTAAAATGAATCCCCATTTACTTACTCTCAAATGAGTTTCCTTTTTCTGTTGAACAAAAAAGAAGATACTTTGAAAAATGTTAGAAACCTGTAATCATTAAGATCCAAAGTAGGAAAAACAAATACAAATAGGACGCGCATTCGCAAGAACTGTCCAGTACCTTAGACCTACCCCTGGATTCCCGCGCTTTCTCTGACAGGAAAAGAAAGAAACTGTTAAATAAAGTCAGTATTTTAGTTTTATGTGCCTACAAACGTATTCTCGTAGCTTCATAATGTTCCACTGATAATAACCATGTCGTCTATTTTGTCTATGGAGGGTGAAGGATTTCAAATAAATTTTTGTTTGTGTTTCGAAGACGAACGAAGGTCGTAGGTGTGGACGCGTCATGCGGGTGAGTATAGCCCATTGATAACATAATATTCATTGCACTTTTTTTTCATTCATTAATTCTTGTAATTACGTTTACATTTAATCATATGATAGACGTTTGTATCCACAGCCAGTGCAAAACAAAGCAAAAAATAAAAAATAGATACTATGTGCCTCTAACTGTACGCAAATTATATGTATTGGCATACATAGAGATACTTCGCATGTCTTTAAGACTGAACACAGGTATTTAAAAAATAAAAGAAAAAGCAGAATAGAAAAACGACAAATTGATGTTAGTACCAGAGAGAAGAAATATAAGTTAGGAAGTGCAGACAAAAAAAACAACATTTTTCGGTGATTGCGGTTTTCTAGCTACCTGTATCACTGCTAGACATTTGGCAATACTAAAGTGAGAAATGCTCTTGAGAAGAAATAATATAGCTTTTCCCAGAAACCGTTTGTGGTCCCAATTAAGGCCAAAGATCGATGATTTTGCTCATTTTAAAAACGAAACTATTTATGGCTAGGCTATATTTAAGCTAAATATTTACATATATGGGCTAGTTTACAGAATGTGTTACTTTTATGATGACAAAGACACACACACAAAAAAAAAAAACACTAAAATGATATTTAAATAAAGTGAAATGAAATAGAAGTCATTTAAGCGTGCCTTTATTATTAACGAATTTACAGCAACCCTGGTATATGAAATAAAAAAAGCATTAGTTAAAATAACAGTAAGCATAAAGCAAAATCACTTATGAATTATGAATAGGCTACTAAAACATACATACAATGTCACTGCTATTTCACACTCTCCTCAAATATTATTTCATTTTATTTCATTTTATATATATATATAAACATTGTATGCTATGTTTTAGAATTTCAGTTATTTCAATCATTAGTGTGATAACTTTGATTTTGAATCTGCATATCCATCTACTCACTCTCACTTTAGCATCCTATTTAAAAGATCACCAGAAGTTGGGCATAACATTTTTAGCACACTATATTTAAAAGCCCTCTTTGCCATATTGTGGCTCTTTATTTCAGACTGTGAAAGTGCACACATATCTATTTTTTACACCATAAGCAAACTCTCTCTACCTTAATATTTACATAATCCAATTGTCCAACCCTTAAAAGAGCAAAAATGTCATGACAATAATTCTGCGTTACTTTATTCGTCCATATCTTTATTCAGCAAAGTTTTATCAATCCATAAATCAAAGAATTGTTAACACACTTTATTCAACCACCAATCAAAAGTTCAGCTGTGAATAAAAAAAAATAGAAAAATAAGTACAATATAGACTGCTCTTCATCTCTTCAGCACACGGCGAGGGTCGCGTCCATTGGTGACGGAGACGGGAGGTTTTGGGCCCTGTCCTCCTCCTGAAGCCGAAAAAGCACTGCCACTGTTCCAATGGCTGCGGTTCAGATGACGGCCACCTGAACCAAAAGAGCCCTCTCTGGAGCCAGCAGAAAAGGAATACACAGCCTGGCCGTTCACTGCGAGAGAACGATAGTAGGGTCCATATTACAATTAATTCTGGACAAGAAACAACTATTTAGACAGAGAGAGCTTTCTAAGAGAGAGGTTTGTTTTGTTTTATGTGTAGTTTTCTCTGGTGCATGTCATAATCTTTCCAGAAGTAAATGCAACAAATCAAAACTTCCTATAAATATACATTGTGCTTATGTATTGTACTTATAATTGAAGTCAAAATTATTAGCCCTCATGTGATTTTTATTATTATTATTTTTTTATATTTCCAAAATAATGTTTAACAGAGTAAGGAAGTTTTTACAGTATTTCCTTTTTTTTCTGGAAAAAAGTCTTATTTGTTTTGTTTTGGCTAGAATAAAACCAGTTTTCGTTAGGAACAAAAGTATATGTCCATTTATGTCACATATATGTCAGAAAAATGTGTCACATATATGCCAGAAACATGCATGGCAGAAACATACATGTCACATATATGTCAGCAACATGTATGTCACATTCATGTCAGAAACATTTGTCAGCAACATATATGTCACATATAGGTCAGCAACATATATGTCACATATAGGTCAGCAACATATATGTCACATATAGGTCAGCAACATATATGTCACATATAGGTCAGCAACATATATGTCACATATAGGTCAGCAACATATATGTCACATATATGTCAGGAACATATACGTCACATATATGTCAGCAACATATTTGTCACATATATGTCAGCAACATATATGTCAGGAACATATGTCACATATATGTCAGGAACATATGTCACATATATGTCAGGAACATATGTCACATATATGTCAGGAACATATGTCACATATGTAAAAAAAAAGGGGTCACATATATATATTTTTTTCATGTCTATGGGGATTAGAAAATTCAGTCCTGCAAGTCCAATCAAATCACACATAAAGGGTAAATCGCATCATAATGAAGACATGGTTGTTTGGAAGTATTTAAAGCGTCCAAGAAGATGTCCAAAGTCTTTACATGCGTTGACCCAGAGACTGTTTATATGCATGTCATTGATGACAAGATGACAGATGTTCACTGTATGGTGACCGAAATAGCCTTAAACACCCAGCAGGCTCAAGTCGTCAACTTGACGCCATTGAAAATTAGGTTAAGGTCAGAACTCAATGTCAGGCCAACGTCAATGTCCAACTTTCAACCTAAAACTAACCAAATATCAACGTCTAATGATGTTACAGCTTGACGTTGTGTGGACGTTACCACTCTTGACATATATCAGATGTTGGATTTTGTTTGCCATACCAGATGAATAAATGTCAGTATTTGACATCAATATGTTGTTGGTTTTAGATGTTGGGTCAAAGTTGGATTTTGGTCACTTTCTAACAACCTAATTGACCAAATATCAACATCATTATTGGACATCAAAATGACATGGTCCTTAGACGCTGGTTAGATGTTGAATTTTGGTCAGCTGACATCACCACCACTTAAATCTAACTGAATATTAATGTCTTATGACGTTGTGTGCCTGCTGGGCAATAACTAAATGCACTACAGAATGTTTCGTTTACACACATCCACAAATTACATGTAAACGCATCAGCTTTTAAGAGTGTAATACTCACGACTCTTAAGTACTTTTAAAAGGGCTACTTTTTACTCATACTTTGAGTAATATTCACAACAGATACTTTTACTCTACTTGCACTACATTTTTAGGCAAGTAATGGTACTTTTACTTGAGTATGATTTTTCAGTACTCTTTCAACCACTGCATATATGTCAGAAACATGTCCACAAAAATGTCAGAAACAAATATGTCCCCTACATGTATAGCACATACATGTCCATATATATGCCAGAAACATGTATATATGCAACATGTATGTCCATATACACAGTTGAAGTTAGAATTATTAGTCCCCCTTTGAATTTATTTTTCTTTTTTAAATATTTTTCAACAGAGTAAGGGAATGTCTGTATGTCTGATAATATTTTCTTCTTCTAGATAAAGTCTTATTCGTTTTTTTTCGGCAAGAATAAAAGCAGTTTTCAATTTTTTAAACACCATTTTAAAGACAAAATTATTAGCCCCTTTAAGCTACTTTTTTTCCGACTATACAGAACGAACCATCGTTATACAATAACTTGCCCTATTACCCTATCCTGCCTAGTTAACCTAACTAACCTGGTTAAGCCTTTAATTGTCACTTCAAGCTGAATACTAGTATCTTAAAAAATATCTAGTAAGATATTATTTACTGTCATCATGACCAAGATAAAATAAATAACTTATTAGAAATGTATTGTAAAAATCTTTCTATTAAACAGAAATTGGGGAGAAATATACAGGGGAGCTAATAATTCAGGGGAGCTGATAATTCTGACTTCAACTGTATATAAAATATTTCCGAATTGATCATAACTAACAAAATTCCTTATATTTTTTGTATTTTTACCTTAAAAGTTAAATTTAGTTTGTTTACATAATGCAATTTTTTACTTTCTTTGCAAAACGATAAACAAATTATTATTAATAATGATCATTTTTAATTATGTTTATACTAATAAAATGTTTGTTTTGTTGTTTCTCAAATTAATAGAATAAATTTAACATTTTAATGGGTTTCAGTACTGAAATATTTATCCTTAAAGTTAAAATTGTTTATGTAGTGTGTTAAAAAAGTAAACAGAATGGATGAATAATTAGAATTCTCCAAATGTGCACTGTAAGCTATATGTGTGTTTTTTGCATTGACTCGGAAAAAAAGAAAGACAGAAAGAAAGAAAGAAAGAAAGAAAGAAAGAAAGAAGGATGGAAGGAAGGAAGGAAGGAAGGAAGGAAGGAAGGAAGAAAGGAAGGAAGGATCTTGTAAAAGTCTCTGGCAAATCTATGAATGTGAAGTGTAAGTGAATCTATTCATTTATCCATTCATCCATCCATCCATCCATCTAAAATTTGCAGTTTTTCTTCTCAACAGGTAAACTAAACTTTTTTTTGTCATATGTTAGCTCTTTACTGTCAAGCCACATATAAAAGTGCAAAATATTGCAAGGACAAGAATCTTAAAAACATGTATCTTTACACAACAGGGCATGGGGTGTTTATAGAGACAGTCTGGAAATAATTCATGTTCTATACATTAATAAGGAACCAATGGTAGAATGTAGGCAAGTATTTTAAATCTTTTGTCTTATTTTAAATTATTTCAAGCTATCCACTTAATCCAGGGGTCACTAATCTCAGTCCTTGAGGGCTGGTGTCCCTGCAGGGTTTAGTTCCAACTTGCCTCAACACACCTGGATGTTTCAAGTATAGCTAGTAAGATCTTGATTAGCTTGTTCAGGTGTGTTTGTTTAGGGTTGGAGCTAATATCTGCAGGACACCGGCCCTCCAGGAATAAGTTTGGTGGCCCCTGACTTAATCAGTGATAGCAACATGTAAGTCCACAACACACGATTTTGATTAAAAATGGCCAATGTCAAACAATAAGCTTTAAAAATGTAAACCTGTAGGTCCAGCAGGTGGCACGGGATTCACTAGAGAAGGATTGCTGCCGTGAGCCTCTGTTTTTACCTGTTAGGAGATAAAACACACACTCATTCTGTGTTCCTCTTACTGTTGGTGCAATTTGAGCAGTATTTTTGCACTCACATGGGTGTTGTTTATTTGGTTTATTTTAGCCAGCACCTCTGGGTTGGGCTCACTGAAATTTGGAGTCTCAGAGAAAATCATGCAGAACCTTTAATAGACGCAAAAAGGAACGGTTACTGCTGTCATTTCCCCTTGCATTAAATAAGTCAGCTGAGATGACCTACTCTCCGATCTTCTGGAGGTCTCCTGTTCTTCCAATATACAGCGTAAGACAGCCTTTAAAGAGAGACGCATATCTGAAAAATATATACACAGGATTATTTTCTTGTGTTTTATACATTTACTTTTACCAAATTGGAGCCTTATAATAACGATCAAAACATGTATTCAAATGTATTATGGTGTCAATTATCTCCCTTTTATTATTACTGTTATTATCACTATTAATACTACTACCGTTTTTAATTTACATAAGCCACATTATTGTACAGTCTATGGTCAAACCTTAGTAAATGGCGCCATCCAGTGGACAGCATTAATCAATAAAGCAAACTGGTAGTAAATATTAATAATAATAATAAATAATATTACTCCGGTCTAATTCTAAAGATGATTTGTCTAACAGTGCAGTAAAGAGTTGTAGATAGAAATGTTTAGCTATAAATATGCTGTTTCCATTAACATATTAATAGAAAGAAAAAAGAAATTAAAGAATGAAAGAAAGACTTTGGCCTTTAAAACCCCCTTTAACACAACATTTTACAAAAACAAAAATAATAAATTCACACAAAAAATACTAACAAAACAATTACTGATTAGAAACAAATTTACCACACACTTACAACCCCCTTTATTTGGAAAAAAAATGTATATTATCAGTTTGCTTATGACATGAAAAATCAACAGCAACTCTAAATCTGTAAAACAGCAACTCTAAAGTCTAAATAAAGATTTAAAAAGAGACTATTCAAACACTTCACCAACATTTTTACATTGATGTGTTTTTAAATTTGCTAATTTAATTTAAATAGAAAGAAAGACGCGTGGATTTGACTATAAGAACTGGTATTATTAATAATGTTATTATCACCATCCTCATCAGTAATGAACTGTACTTACCCTCGAGTGAGTCGAATGATGTCTCCGGTTTGAATCAGGCTGCCCACCTCGTCCCACACTGATATGGTGATACTTCCGGTCCTGTCAGCTACTTTACAGGAACGCACTTCGTGTCCGTCCTTTGTTTTAGACACACGACCTGACACATTTTGTTACATTGGAACACACGTAAAATACAAGAATTCTTTAATATACTTTATATTCTGAATATTGCTGCTTGCATAAACATAAAAGCGAAGGGACTTTGATTCAAATTCTTGAACGATTTGTTCTGAACTTATGAATCAGTTCAACCGATTCTCAGAACAAACCCAACTCTAATGACTTATTCACAAGTAAGCTAATTTAATCTGTTTTTCGTTTATCAGTACGGAAAAAAGGTTCGTATGATATATAAAGTGTCATGATTTATAAAGATGAATCTTATTTGTCGACTTAAATGCTGATTGTGTGTTTGTGAGCACACTTTTAATAAAGGTGGGCTAGTAGAGAAACAGTTTCCCAACAAACTTACCAGTTTCCAGGACGATGAAAACCAAATTAATATTTTTTAATCCAGCTTTAAGGTCTTTAATCAAGAACGCATTGTCGTTTGGTGAATTTGCCATTGTAAAAAAAACTAGAAAAGAAAAAACACTAAGAAAATCCTACTCAAATTCGATCAAACGCAAACTGCCTGCCACTTATTGACTGATTGTGCCTCGCATGTAATTGATTACAGCACTGCTTTGCTTGATCTAAAATTGCCAGATTAGGTGACGCTTCTGCCTTGCAGAATTTTTTTAACCGAGCCGCACCTCTGTAATCCTTGAAATGCTGTAGAAATAGTGGCCCAGATACTCCGTGACATCAGTTTATTCACGAATGCGTGATTTAAAACGTAATTTGAAAGTGTGGTTGTTTGCTAATCAAAATTAAACATCGTCACGAACAGGATTCGAACCTGTGCGGGGAAACCCCATTGGATTTCGAGTCCAACGCCTTAACCTCTCGGCCACCGTGACTGGTTCATATCTGCCTGCAAAAAACAGTTTATCTACCTCTACATCCATCAGGTGTGATTATTACGCGATTATTTTACGCGATAGAGCCAGTTTCTTTGTATGTTTGGGTTATTTTATGTTAAAAATGTAAAAGCTGGATGTTTTTTAATCGTATTTAGGAAGCCTCATAATATGGCTTCATTTAAAACAAACAGGCAGATTACAAAAATTGGAAAGTAGAAGCGCGATGTTCGACAGTATAACCAAAGAAAATATTCTTAGCGTTTAGTTTTTGAGTTTTTAAGATGGATTGAAGTATTTATTTCGCTAATATATAAATCTATATATTGTGCTGTTTAAATTGATTCAACACGACACCAGGTGGCGCTAAAGCATGAAGAATTGTGCAACCAGTTTTAAAACCAACTCTTCATTTTGGGTACGAGAGTTTATACAGTTGTTGGCAAAAATTAGTTGATAAAAACAAATTAAGACAGATAATGCAGATGCCAATGAATGTATAAGTTGAGAATTCCTCATTACCTCGACATTTCAGGTTTGTCATTGTTTCTGCAGTATTGGGTAACTTAGATTACTTACAAACTGTTGACGGTTGACATTATTCTTCGGTGGATTCAAATGAACGTTACACGTAAGTTAGTTGTTATTAATTTAGGTAATACATTGTAGTTTATGTTTTACGTTTGCTTCACTTGAGGAGTATAACTAATTTGACATGATTTAAGGTTATTAAAATGAAGAGGAAGACAAATAGGCCTTCGGTTTCTTACTATCAGCGTAGTGAATAGCCTACTAGCAACGGTTCCCCAACCTGTTGTTAATTAAAGCACTATGTTTTTATTAAAATATAATAATTATTTTAATCATTGCAAAACTTAATACAGAAATCAGAAATATTTTAGGGCATTGTTTGCCTGTATGTCTTTGTGATCATCAATTGATTACAGAACTGTGAACATGCCAATACAATGTTAAATTATTAGGTTAAAAGGGGTACAAAAGGTATTTGGAATCTTGTCACATGGACAAACATAAAAAAGTCTATGAAATTGGTAAACTAAAAACATTTTTATCAAAGTATTTATCCTTTTTTATATAAATACAAGAGTTTTGGAGTGTAGCGAAATGCTTAACTTCATTTAACTCCTGTCAAGTTCAGTCTATTCTACTTCTAACAACATTAAAGCTTGTAACTCAAAAGTTATTTACCTTAAAATCAAAGTCTAGCTCATAGATAAGACACTTTCTGTCATGTTACAGTTACTTCTGTCTGAGGGATTATGAACAATTGCATGCAAATGTCAACCATGCCATGAAAACAATTCAGGCCTCAAAAAAACAGTGAAACCATTTCTACGTTTTTTTTGTACATGCAAGTATTTTACAGTAGGGCTGGTTGATTTTTGCAAAAAATTATAATCACGATTATTTTGGTCATAATTGTAATCACGATTATTCAAAACGATTATCAGTTGAAGTCAAAATTATTAGCGCTCCTGAGATTTTTAAAAAAATAAATATTTCCCAAATGATCTTTAACAGAGCAAGAAATTTTAACAGTATTTCCTCTAATGTTTTTTCTTCTGGAGAAAAGCTTATTTGTTTTATTTTGTCTAGAATAAAAGCAGGTTTAAATATTTTGAAACCCATTTTAAGGTCTATAATATAAACCCCTTTAAGCAATATATTTTTTGATTGTCTGCAGAAGAAACTACTGTTATACAATGACTTGCCTAATTACCCTAATTAAGCCTTGAAATCACACTTTGAATATGAATTCTTGTATTTTGAAAAATATCTAGTCAACTATTATGTGCTGTCATCATAGCAAAGTTAAAATAAATCAGTTATTAGAAATGAGTTATTAAAACTATTATGTTCAGAAATCTTCTTTCCATTAAACAGAAATTGGGGAGGAAGAGGGTTGCTAATATTCAGTTGAGACTTCAACTGCATATATACACAGTTATTTTCCACCCTGCAAAGGAAAGAGAAATAAATACAATAGAATAAAAATGAAACAAACTGTGCTTTAAGCATCTTCACTGTAAGAAAAACACTTTAGCTACAAAAGTCCAGAGCAGTGAGGAATTTTCTCATTTTGTTTGATTAATGATAAAAACAGGCGGCAGCAGGAATTGCGCGCTGTCACTTTAATGGTTTCTCGTTCACGTTTTTCTTTTGATTCTCAACTCGTTTGTTTATTACACAAATGAGGGTTAATATGAATAATCATTAAACACTGCGTTTTGACACCTATTTGTACATTAAAGCGCTCACGTAAAGATGAGATGCGTGCGCTCTGCTGTCTCAGTGTGCGAATGAGACCGAATGCTGACTGCATGCTTCTGACTGTGTGTGCGCGCATTTAAGAGCAACACCTGTACAACTGGAAAAGTGCAGTATATGATGCAATAATCGTTTATCTCGATTAATGGTTTTTCATAATCGTTAGAAGCTGAAATCGGATTTTGATTAATTGCACAGCCCTATTTTACAGTACTTAAAAAATGCACAAAAATGTTTCTGTCAATGTTTTCATACATTTATATTCAATTTACCAAAGTCCAATTACACAAGTGCCAATTTCACATCCGTCACATCCATAACAGAGAGCTGTCACATCTATTGCGAAGCTTTTTCCTCATAAATGCAAACATGTAAAATAAAACTAAATCTGTCATTTTTGTTCTATAGAGAGCTAACTCTTATCCTTTTGGTTAGCATTATTGCTTTTGGCTTGTGCAGTTTAATTCCCAGAATTTCTACAAAGTATGTCGTAGACTGTAAACTCACTAACTTTTTTGGTCACATCCATAATGCATGTTTATTTTCCTAATTTAAAATATAATTCAGTTTTTTTAACAGATTGATATTTTTCTGATTCCATAACTCTGGGGTTAGTTGTTTTGGAAAATATAAACATATATTACAATATAAGGTGAACATTATGCTTTCTCTGTGAATTTATGTTTAGACTTTTTACTGCAAATGTTCACATAGATAACGCTGGAACTGCTCTTTTACAAAAAGAAAAATGAGACAAACTGCTTTGAAGAGGCTACAAACAATTCCAAAAGAACAAGACTGACAAGAAAATGCATAATTCAACATTTTTATTTATTTGCATTTTAAGAACAGAACAGAGCGTGCTTCAATAACAACTTGGTAAACAGGTGTCACAGAGACGTTATGAGGTCTCTGCTGTAACTCAGCCTTTTCTTTGGCATGTATTTGTAAAATATGATATAACCAAGACAAAATATAGCTCTCTCATATATTATGAAGTCTTAAAAGATATGCAAACATAGATTAGTGATTACAAGCGTCAGCAAAAATGAGTTAAAATATGTTATATATTTAAAGACTCAAAAGAATTAAAACCTCATCCCTGTGATAGAAACATCCACCCAAAAGCAAAGATACACACTTCTATGTTTTTGTTCAGCATGTCACTGAAATAAAAAGCTCTAATTACTTGCGGAAAGCAACTATATTCGTAAAACAAACACATATATTGGTTCCCACTTACATAAATGTAAAACAGTTCTTGTCTATTATAATAAGGACCACACTTGTGGAAAAATGGTACTCTTTTTACTCATATAGTATTTATTCAGACTTGATTTGTCAGTGCTGTCCTTAATATGTTTATTTATTTAGACCTTACCTGCTAACAGCACCATTTTAATTCTGGGTTTGCATTGTAGCTATACATATATCCGTATTAATCTAAAATGCTGTTAGTCAATTCTCACATTTTGAAACTTCAGCTAAAAAGCCCAAACCAACTTTCACCTTTCTCAATCTTTTAGATCTTTACACCTCTCTGGCTTATTTGCATCCACCCGGGCTGATCGTCTCCTTCATCACTTTCAGAAATATGCCTGTAATCCTGACTGGCCTCACAGTGTCTGTTTCTCAGCCAGCACCATGCCGACAGGAGCTTGAGAAACGGTCTCTGAAAAAGAGGCGTATATCAAACGCAGGAATGCTTTCTGAGTAAAGTCCGAGACATATGCGGAGCTCAGGGAAGACCAGGATCCCCCATGTGAGCTGCATTCCAGATTCAAAGCAAAGCGTGTGTGAGCATGGTGTGGGCTCAGGACACATACAAAGGTAAATCTAAATGTTTATTAGTCACTACAAAGCAGAAATTACATTTAGGACAGCTCACTTCCCAGCTAGCCTTCTCACATCTTTTGGTCTCTATATTTACGGGGTTCACAGTATACATAGAGTGACTTGATCAAAACCAAATTGAGTGCACATTTCTGATAAACGCACAGACGTAGAACATGGCAGTATATTTCATGCTATCTCAAAAAACCGAGCTGGAAGGACATTAGAATTGATCTAGGTTGCATGAAAGTTAATATCAGTTTCAGCTGTGCACAGGCTGATCCTGAAGAAATGATTTGTGGGATGAAAAGCAGACTATGCTCAAAACACATCTATTAGATAGATGGGGTGCACTTGATTTTTTATTTTTTATTTTTTTTGGCTGTAAGTTGTTAGTTTTTCCTTGCCAACTTTCTCAGCTGACAGGTTAGACAGCACTGGTGGAGGAAAACTGAAGGGTTTCTCATAAGCATAAGGCTCATAACAGGCTCCTTTCACATCCACTTCTGCTAAAAGACTATAGGGAACCATGGGATTTTTAAAGCAAATGTCATATAGTTCATGAATTTTGCCTTCGAGAAGATTGTAAGTTTGTATTCTATGTGGACATGGTGTAGATGTCTGGGATTTTGGCAGGGATGGCTGGTACTGATAAGGGAGATAGTGTTTTCTCAGCTTTGGAGGGTATCCTGGGGCTGGAATTTGAGGGTCAGGACTTTAGGATGCTTGTCCTACAGCAACACCCTCAGCTTGGCCTGCAGCTTCTGCAAGAGAGCTGCCTTCAATCTGTATGTTTTCCTTTTCCTCCTCTTCCTTGTCTTCTTCTTGTAAAGCATTGTGGCAGACTTCAATCTTGGAGGTGTCCTGGGGCAGGGTTGCAGAAAGAGCGTACTCCTCGCTTACATCTTCTGTGATTGACAGCTCAACCTCAGCTGTGCCGTTCAGGATGCCAGGCACTACCTCTTTCTCCATTGCCTCCACAGCTGCCTTTACTTCCTCCTGTCCTGGAGCAAGTTGCGAATGAACCTCTTTGAAGGACAGGTCTTCGGTTGGGCTCTCAATCGGTGCCAGTTCGATGGAGGCAACGGCGCTCTCTGCTTGAGCTGAAGTTTCGCCCTCTACTTCAGCATCTCCACTGCGATTCTTCTTGATGGAGAAGGTGAGAGGAGAAACCTTGAAAGAGGAGTTCTTGGCACTTGGGTTCTTCTGGTGGTTCGGTGTCAGACTCTTCTTGATTTTCTCACGCTGTTCCTGGGACACGATCTTGGTGCTAATTTTGTTCATCTTCTTCTCGATGTTCTGTCTGGAGAACGCTTTCTTCAGACTGTCCACTTTCTTCAGGCTGGAACGCTTGATCTTCTCAGCTCGAGATTTTTCGATTCTGGTTTCACTTTCGAGATTGAGAGCAGCCAAAAAATCCTCATCATCATCTTCTGGTGCCTGCTCGTCATCCGAGGAGAGGGCGATGGTCTGGAGGCCTTCCTCTTGAGAACGATTGGCATCGATGACTGGGGCCTCCTCCTCTACTTCAGGTAACGGTGTTGGTTCCTTCACAAACACACTTGAGGGGATTTCATTTTCCTCCTGTGCAAATATAAAAACAACAAAAAAAATCGAATGAATTATTCAGTTTACATGCAGCAATGTGTTTTATACCACATATGGATTCTCTCAGCATGCAGTTCTGCCAAGTTTGGTGTTCTGAATTATTGAATTGCACAAGGCAAATTATTTTAATAGGCAATGCTTTCCCCACTTCTAATGCCTCAGTCAGTTGCTGCCTACAAGATTTGTATTTGGTTGTCTAGACAACTGAGGTGTAAGAATGCTGATGATGCAAAAGGCAGTCATGTGTTTGTGGAAGATATGTTCAATAGTTTCTACATAACATCATCTTCTACTAATGCATTTCAGAAGGCCTTAAAGGGATAGTTCACCCAAAAATCAAAACATACTCACTATTTATATACTCACTCCCGCAAGTGGAAGGTTTGAAAACCTTTATGAGATTCTTCTGTTGAACACAAAATAGATGTATTGAAGAAATCTGAAAACCTGTAAGATTGACTTCCATAGTAAGAAAAACTAATATTATGGAAGTCAATAGTTAGAGGTTTCCAACATTCTTCAAATTCTTCTTTTGTGTTCAACAGAAGAATGTCAAACAGATTTTAAGCAAGTATAGGATAAGTAAATGATGACAGAATTTTCAGTTTTGGGTGAACTATCCCTTTAAGAGTAAGTGAATGCTTTACTATGAAGTCCATAGCTTTGCATGCCAAAAAGTGGCACTGCTAGAAATTCTGAGCCCTAGGTACAGACTTTAACTATAGCTCTTTAAGTAAAAAAATCCCATTTCTGGCTTCTTTGTGGATCCCCAAAGCTCAAAGCTCTATTCACATATATGTTCCCACTCACTTATGATGTGCATGCAATTTAAGTACTTAAAATAAATATATAAAACAAGATCACTGTCTCTAGTACTCTAAATCTTCTCTTGAAGCCCCCTTGAACCGGAAGCTGCTATCATTATTTATTCATTTTTTTTCAGCTTAGTCCCTTTATTAACCACGGGTCGCCACAGTGGAATGAACCGCCAACTTATCCAACATATGTTTTACGCGTGGATGCCCTTTCAGCTGCAACCCATCACTTGGAAACGCCCATACACTCTCATTCACACACATACACTACGGACAATTTAGCCTACCCAATTCACCTATAGCGCATGTCTTTGGATTGTGGAGGAAACCCACGCCAACATGAGAAAAACATGCTCCACACAGAAATGCAGACTGAGGCATTTCCTAGCCGAGACTCAAACCAGCTACCTTCTTGCTGTGGAGCGATTGTGCTACACGCTCCGCAACCCTGATGCCTGTGATTGTTATTCTTTTCGTAATGTGACGTAGTTTCTAGAGAAAAGGAATTTTAAATGAGCAAACAGTGGGGGTGTTTTTTTTTTTTACAGCTGGCAGATTGGACATAGTAAAATAGTCATTTCATTCAGTAAGATTGGGAAAAGGGGTTAGGTAGAGTTATTACAACCTAACAGACACCTCCTGCTCACCATTTCGCCGTTTCAGCATTTTTATCATAAAATATTATGGAAGTCAGTGTTTTTAAAAGAAAGGAGAAACTCAAATAGGTTTTGAACAAGTGAAGAATGAGTAAATTATTAATTAATTAATTATTAATTAATTATTTTTTGGTGTGAACTATCTCTTTATAACCCATGTTCAGGCAATATTAAAATCACTCAAATAAAGAATTGGGATCTTCATTAAAATAAAGTACTTTACAAACATATTTAAGACATTTGGATGGGCTTTTAACATTTAATAGAAGCTGCCAAAACTCATCGTTACTTTTTCATCAAAGTTTTAAGAATTTGTCTTTTAAAAGATGATTCAGTCTTAAAAATGTCTTAATGTTATATAAAGCACTAAATGCAGGGTATATACAGTTAAAGTCAGAATTTTTAGACGCACTGTATATATTTTCCCCCAGTTTCTGTTTAACGAAACCAGATTTTTTCCACACATTCTTAAACATAATTGTTTTTATAACTAATTTCTAATAACTGATTTCTTTTATCTTTTCTACAATGACAGCACATAATATTTTACTGGATATTTTTCAAGATGCTAGTATTGAGCTTAAAATGCAATTTAAATGCTTAACTATGTTGGTTAGGATAATTCATTGTATAGCAGTTTGTTCAGTAGTAAATAAAAAAAATATCGCTAAAGGGGCTAATAATATTGCCCTAAAATGGTAAAAAAAAAAAAAAAAAAAAACTTGTTTCCTTCTAGACAAAATAAATTAAATAGGAAATAAAACTTTCTTCAGAAAAAAAATATAAGGAAATATTTGGAAAAAATCCTTTATCTGTTTATCATCATTTGGGAAATATTTGACACCAACTGTATGTACATATATTTTTTTTTAAAGACACAAGCGGACAGGAACATTTGGTGTAAAAACATTGTGTACCGTCTCCCTTTTCCTTTCTGGCCACAATCATAAAGACCAAAGAATAGCTAGACGATAGGGAAGGAAAGCCAAGCATGGCGCTACGCAACTCCTATCAGAGTTTCCACTGAGTTTTGGAAGACTGCCATGGAGCAGAGAAAAAGAGAGAGAGGCAGTTGGAGAGAGAGAGAAAACTGGGAAGTGTGGTATGGGGATTTGAGGGAGTAGGATGTTAGGAAGCATTTGGGGTGGAGTGCAGCTATAGGGACACCTGGACAAGTTTGTTTGCCCCCACCCACCCATCAGAATGTTCCATGGCATGTTAGAAATGCGCAGGAGAGCCTCAGAGCCTCTCTCTTAGCGATAAGTCTCTAAATTCTGATATGGATGAGGTCAGGTCATGCAGCCAACCGCCTAGTTAATCATTTTAACTGTTCTGTTTTCATAATGGAGGCACATACAAATGTACACATGAGTGCAAATGCCAGCGACTTTGGGTGTACATGTTCTTTAATGGGTCATTCACTCAGAACATACAGTATTCATTTTAGGGTGTTTTAACAGTTTTAGATTGGTTCATTAGTAAATATTAGCTTTAGTCCTGGGTTACTTTTATTGTTCACAATGTAATTTGTAAGATCAAACTTAAAAATACCAAACATATGCAGTAAGGAACATACCAAATGTGCTGAACAAAACTGAATAAAGGGCTAAAGTTGGCAGATGAATTTGTTCTGTTGTTTTAAATACTTTTTTATAAGCTTGTATTTTTAGGGTTCTGTCAAACAAGTGTGATGACCAAGGAATCCAGATTTGCTTAAATTGCTTTCCAGCTAATAATTTTAGTTTCCTAAAACTTTATTTTAACGTTATTAGAATCTTCCATTCTCATTATATTAATGTTCTTAACACATTTTTCTATCAACGTTATAAGGATGTTCCAAAACAATCAACTTTTAGGAAACATTACAGAATTTTACACTAGTCTTAAAATATAGTTGGGTAAGTTACTTTAAAAAGTTATGGATTACAAATGACTGATTACTACTGGAAAATTGTAATTTCTTTACATTACTGTTCACTTAAAAGTAACTTCATGTAAAAAGTAATCAGATTACTTTACTTTGAAGTCATATAAAATATACTTATAAAAATACAAAAATAAACTGCAGCTCTTTCAGTGATTTAATATTCAATGAAAACATTACAATTGGTTGATCACAGCAGCTTGACATATTCAAAATAGAGAAGGGTGCGTGACGTATTTGAGGACGCACTATTTCTGGGAGATTATCACTCGTTTGCGGGCATCCGGGAGGCTCTGTGCATTTGCGAGAGACTCCCGGAACTTCTGGGAGTCTTCGGATGTCTGGAATGACCTCCCGCCCTACTCATAATTCTCATAACATATTACATATACATAAAACACTGTGATATAGCCGGGCTCATATCGTATTACTTTCTCACTACAATTGATCCACTCCAGAGTTAGTTTCAATCGAGCGGGACCACCTCATTCAGGCAATCTCGGACCGATTGTTTTGCGAGCGCAATTGCTGGATTCACATATGCCAAACGAACCGCGCTAACTGAGCAGATGAGATGGGTTCCGAAGCAAAAGTCTAGGTGTGAAAGCACCCTTAATAAAATTAAACTTATGTCTGTATTTCTACTTGAAGAAGCAACCACTCTTGACAGCAACAATTTCAGCTCATGTTCTCCAGCAATGTAAAAACGCATGCTTGTTAACTGACGGTGCAGCAGAAAACGTGATTTAAAAGAAGCATTTTTTCTTCCAAAGACTAACTTTGAAACGCAAGTAACGCAAATCCTTTGACTTTATTAACTGTAATCAAATTACACAAATTGAAAATGTAATTCGTTACATTACTGCGTTCCCCAAAACTGTAATTAGAATACAGTTACTGTGGAACACGTTACACCAAACTCTGATAGTCACCAATATCCAGTGTACCACAATTTATCAAGTCTGGCCATAACTTTTTATATTCAATTACTTCATTTCATTCACTTTCATTTCATTTCATTTCATTCAGAGTTTTCTAATTCAAATCCAAGAGCGTGACTGATTATTCCTTGGCTAAACGAAAGCTGGTCAAACTAGTTTGTAGGAGTCTTAACATGTTGGCTATGTTTTTTGCTACTGGCCCCCGACCTAAATGTATTATTAGCTTTTTGGTGCAGCCCAAACAAACCACAGGCAATTGCACCAGAGTCTTCTTAAACCAAATATGCCATATGGGAACACACCCTTAGTTTTTTTAAATGTTATTTTAAATAGTCAGCAAGCATACTATTTTTTTCTTTACGTACTTGGCGGTTTTATTTCTCAATAGAAACTGCATTACAAGTTGGCACGGTTTTAAACACTTTAGGTCTCATTTTATTCCACAAAATTCCAAATTACAAAAACAGAATTGAGATATATCCTGTGAAGTGTACATCTAGGTTGCCTTCAAGAATCGAAGAAATGATGGAGATGTAATAGACAGAATACTACGCAGACAATAAGTTTGAACATGCTTTGTGATGCCTTTGAGGGCTTTAACGTTCACATCTGCTCTTATAACATGATAGAAAGTTGTTCC